CCTTCTGATATCATCCCTATTTATACCAGTAATAACCTTATTTTTAGATCTGCATGAAGCATTAAGAGTCTACAGTTATAACTGGACTCAATTCGAAGTTCACTTTGGTTGTACCCACTCTTTTCTTATTTTGATTTGAGATAGTTTAATCCCACTTGAATTAATTAACGCTTCCTACGATTTCTACCTACCTACTTTTTTATCGAATTCAGTACTTTATTTATGTTTCTGCAAATCCTTTCCTTCAAAATGTGCTCCAAGGTGCTAAATTGTTCATAAGGTCTCTAAGTAAGCGCTTCATATATTTAAATTTAAATGAAACAATGTGTATGTGAGAGATCATCTCCATTTTTTATTCGTTTGAAAGGCCTTTCGATGCCATTATGTATAGAATATAAAATCGTTCAAATATAGTTCGCTGGTTGGCGTGCATTTGAAATGTCAAATTTTTAACATTTCATGACATGACCTGAGTGGTATAATTTATATAGACTTTGAGAGGAGCTGAGATTTGTAGCTTATTCACATCCATGTGAGATGACTATGCTCTCATATTGCTCACATATCGTTTGAGTCCATATCGTCCAATTCAGACAAAAGAAGTTGGTAACTATTGACCTGTAGTGTATGCCGATCGTGGTAATAGCCTGACTGACGTCGTTTTCAAAGAAATGTGGACCGATGATGCCGCCATTACATTGAAGAACTTGAAAACAGATACGACACGTTTAACATGTATATAAAAGTAAAAAAAGCGGCTGGTATCTTCAATAAGAAACAAACTGCATTCCTACAGGATGAACATGATCATATTTGAAATAGAGGACAAACTTAAAAAAATTGAAAATTACGTCACGACCCTATTCGAAGACGATAGCAGTAGTTCACCTTCACGATATTACTAACTGCGACGGACCCTTAATAACACTCTCTGAAGTTATAAAAGCCATACAATCATCAACAGATGACAGAGCGACTGGTCCTGATGAAATTCCAACTGATATATACAAGTTTATAAATGATAGCACTGTTTTAGATGCTATAACTTCGTTTTTCAATACCATTTATACCAGCGGACAACTACCTAAAGGTTGGTCTAATTCATTGTTTATAGCTCTACCTAAGAAGACAAAAGCAAAAACTTGTACTGATTATAGAACCATCAGTTTGTTAAATTACGCATTGAAAATTTTTCTGAAGGTCATGGTCGTTTCTACAATAAATGCGAGCAATACCTGGATGACACTCATTTTGGTTTCCCTAACATGTTTGGAACGAGAAGAGGCACTGTTTAAAGTGAACGTACTTGCTCAAAGATGTCGAGATATATCTGTAGACATATACTGTTGTTTTATTGACTTTCAAAAGGTATTTGATTGTGTTAAGCACTCTATTGATCGAAGCTCTAAAATACATGGCTTGGACGGCAGAGATGTTTAAATAATTGCAAAATTTATGTTGGAATCAAACAACATCAGTTTTAGTAGATGGTGTGGAATCACAGGCTCTCAATATTAAAAGATGAGTACGGCAGGATACCTCTTGTCACCCTGCTTTTCAACGTTTACTTCGAAAGAATTTTCAAAAAAGCACTCTCTAAAAGAAAAGAAGGAATACTCGTGAAACGGTGAAGTATAATCAATAATTTGCGATATGCGGACGATACAGTACTCCTAGTTTAGTCAAGAAGATCTGCAAAACACTACTTGATAGTGTCATTGAGAGTTGGTGGGAGGCAGGTCTGGATATGAACATACGGGAAAACCAAAAATATACTCGTAATAAGTAAATAACAGCATATAAAGCCGTGGGGTGGAGAAGATTCGAACCTTAACAATACTAGAACGTCTTAGCAAGACTGCTGAGATCATAAACAGGATCAAAAGAGAAAGCTGGATTATTTCGGACATGTAATGAGAGGCCCCATATATAGGTTGCTCTAAAATATCATGCAAGAAAAAATAGCAGGCAAACGCAGTTCAGGACGAAGAAGAACCTTATGGTTAAAGAACTTGCGAGATAGTATGGTGTTGATACAAGCATGCTATTTAGAGAAAGCATACTTTCCAAGCTTTTAGAGATATGTAGAGAAACTAAGAAATACGTGAAGTACCTGGGAGTGACATTGCACCAGACTGTAAAAGAGGGAAAACACGTACGAGAGGTGACCAGAAAGGCTGCGAATAGTGCAGCTGCTTTAAGGAGGGTAATGCCCTATATTGGGGACCCAAACCGAAGGGAGGAGAGCCTTACACGGTATTGTGCAGTCAATTGTCTTCTACGCGGCATTAGTCTGGAGTGGGGCTGACGGACTAATGACCTATAGAAAGCTCATAACACGAGTGGACAGAACGTGGTCCGTTGTGAGTGGCATGCTCCTACAGCACTGTGGCAGCCTTGTAGATCATGACTGATTATGTTTTGCTGCATGTGTTGGCAGTAGAAAGAACACAGCTATATGTAAGAAGTGAGGGTAACCTAACTATGGCCGAGAGAAGACAGGAAAGGGAAAGGTCAATTAAAAGTTAGATTATTACCTAAGATAGCTGCACAGAACATAGGTGTTTTGGGGCCCACCTCTCTAGGTTCGGAAAGGTTGACACGGATGAATGCCTATACTGCGAACACTCGGACACTGCGACACACGATGTTCTTTTGTGTACTAAGTAAACATTTAGTGGGAACTAGAATAGACCAATACAAGACTTTAAAATGCATTAACCAACACATCCACACAAACAAGTATCAACATCGGCTACCAACTAACACCAGAAATAAATGATCAAATAATTAAAGAAGAAATACCGTCGGTCGTTCATCCTATTTAAGAAATATCTAAAAGTTGTATTACAAAAATATAAAAGGAAATGATCTAACATCGGATTATTACTAGATACTATTATAATAACGTATGTTTTGCGGACGACCAGGTTGTGGTTGCTTAAGTAAGTTTTACAGGAGTCAAGTAGCTGTTCAAGTTACTTGAGCAAGTAACTGGAAACTAATAACTTGAATCGTGTAGACAAATATTGATCAAGAAGTTAAACAAGCAGCCAAGCAAGTCAAGTAACTTAAAAGCCATCCAACTTACTTGTTCAAGTAGACGCCTCCCACCACGGAACGCACTGGTGGTGGGACCATACTTAAATAGTCTACCTCACACTTGCTTCATGTAAACAGTATTATAGTAAATATGTACTCGATGTCAAGAATTGATCGTGTAAAGTCGAGTTTTAAATATTTGAATTTTACTAAATAATATGAAGGTAGAATGATGAGGCAATATTGAAGTTTGTGGAGTTGTACGAAGAGCAAACATGAACAAAGCTGAACCTCCATGCGTGTCTCTTCTTTGTAGCCACTTTCTTATTTAAACTCTTTTTTCGACATGTTCACATTCATCATTAATTTTACTCATTTATATAACACCAATGTCATCATTTGTACACTATTTCGTAAAATTGTTGCGCGGCTTTTTCGCTTCATATTTCTCTTTCTCTGAACCACTGTTCAAGTTCAGTTATTTAACTTTAATAGCCTAATTTCATTATTTAAATGCCCTTTAAACTTAAATACTTAATTAAAGTTATTTGTACAAGTCACTTGAACAGCTAATCGAACTCACATAAACCAGGCTTTAAGATTATAATTACTTGTATTATACGACAAAAATTAATACATAAATTCAAAAACAATAAGAAATTGCAAAGAATATTAACAAGAAATAAAACTCGTTCGAAACAAAACTATTTCGTAGTAAAAATCTTACAGGGACGGAATACTGAATGCGATAATGAAGTAAACAATGACAGTTCACTGATAGCCTTATGTTCTAAATGGCATTTCCGATCGAAACACTACTGAGGCAGTTCCTCACATAAGGGGCGGAAACATAGACTCAAACGCAGAAGGATGAAATACTTCTGAGAATATTCGAGCGCAAGATAATCTCCAAAATATTTTGAGCTATAAACGATCAAGGACAGTGGTGCAAAAGATTTATTTTCGAATTATACCAACTCTTAAAAATAAACCAGATATCGTAACGTTCATTATAACATAGCGACAGATGACCAAATACATAATACTAATGCCTGACAATATGATTGCTAAAAAGATGACAGAAAAACCCAGATCAGAAGATGGCCACACGTTGTGAGAAGCGAACAGAATGGCGACTAATCTTAGATTAGGCCAGGATCCACAGAGGATTGTCGATCTAAAGATAATGATGGCCAGTAAAAACAAAATCAGAGAATTAACATGTACAATGTTAAGTAAGAATGTCTAGAAAAGAAAGAATAATAAATAAAGAGTCAGATAAATAAAGATAATTTAGAAAATAATCTCAGACAAAAATAAAGCAAGTTCTAAAAGAAAAATTAAGAGAAATAGAGAACAAGAAGGTCCAGAATGAGCTGTAGTAGAGTAATTATTGAAAATTAAAAAAAACAGACCTAAAAGGAAATTTATAGGAAGAACGATTGAAATGAATATTAGAAATGGAAAGATGTCGAAGTACGTTCTAAATCTAAAATATACTAATAATATACAGAAACATGGACAGAAATATTACACCAATTATTGTATCTTCTTATATAACAAAATTGTGTCGAGTTTTTCTTTGATAAAAACACGCTTTAATTTCTTAATAATACTTAAAATTATTGCTTTTCTGGATTATTTAATTAAACTACTAATACTACATATTTTTTAATTTAAATTTGAGCTGTTGATCTATCTAACTTGATTGGACGGAACATAGTACTTATTAGTCTTTTTTTATTTGAAAGAACAATGTCAAGGTGACAATTTATGACAAGTGAGCGTAATATAGCGCTTGAGTAATTCTTCACTGCTTTCGCTTTCTATACTGTTGATGTTAAAGCCTACAGTATTACCTGCAAACTGGAGAATTCTAAATGAAGGTTAGCAGTAAAACTAAATTCGAATAATGAAAAATCGTATTAAATAACTAATGGAAAATATTTTATTTGTAGATTCCAGAACCAAAGATTTCTTTCTAGTAGCCAGTCCAATTCCTACAATTGCTTTATCAGTAGCATTTTTAATCTCAGTAACGGTGAGTATATTATAATCAGCCTCTTTCAGTCAATATTGTTAATTAAACTTTTATTGATTGAAACTTGTGTTTTAGGTTCTTATACCAACTTTTATGAAAAATAGAAAACCGTATGAGCTCAAAAATTTTGTTATACTTTACAATGGTTTCCAAGTTTTGTTCAGTACGTGGTTGTTTTATGCAGTAAGTATACATTTATTGTATTTTTTCAAGTAAAATTATTTATTGGGAGCTTTAAGATTTTAATCTTTTGTGTAACATAGTATGTTCCTTTAATGCATACAGTAAGAGACTCACAAAAGAGGAGAATACCAAAAATATTCAAAACAAAGTTGAAAATGAAAATAGTATACAAAAAACATAAAAACTTTGAAAATATTATATTATATTATTAAGAGTATGAAAGATAAGATAATAAGTACAGGCATACCCTGTAAAAAGTCAAACACTGATGAGCTATAATATATAATATATTCTAGATACCACCAATTCTCTTTCTTTATGTGCATTGTTCTAAAAAAAGATGGTGGTGACTGTCAAACGATATGTATTCTGTTTTGTGCTGCATCTTTGCAGCTTCTAGTATTTAGAACCATTTTTGGAGAATTTTTTCATTTATCCTCATTCATCTTCATTCATCATTCTTCCAAATACTATACTGAAATTCACATTCTGATAGCAGCGTTACCTACAGAGATAGGCGTGTGCTTTCTCTATGTCAAAAATAACTACAATGTTGTCAAAGTTTTTAATCTTATGGGCCGGCTCCTATAAAATAATTATAATTTGGGAAATATTTTATTATTATTAAATGGATAAATATTGCACTTTTCAGCAATTTTTTTTTAATTATATAATTTTTCTGTTCGGATTTTATGCAAAGTTAATTTTTGGAAATCTGGTCTTTTCAGTTTTATAACTTCTCTTTAAAATTGTTTGCAATTCGTGGGGATAAAATAATTATTTCTATAATCCCTTTTTGATGTTAGTATCTTTTAAATTGAACCAAACTTTCTCTACCTAAATTTACAATTATTACAGACATTAAAAATAATTTAGAATTAAAAAAATATAATCACAAATTAAAAATTATTCTTTAATGTGTGCAATTATAAGTTCAGGTAGATAAAATGTTGGGAGTCATTAAAAGGATATTCAGTTGATGTCAGAAGTTGGTTTAGTGTCAATATCAAAATGACCGCAAATGTGATAATATTCAAAAACGGTAAAATTATTAATAGCCAATGCAAAAAATAGTGTTAAATGTGTTTTAACCATTTGCCAAAAACAATAACAATGATCAACAGTATCAACAGTTGTGTGTATCAACAGTAGTGCGGGAATGTTCTGTTATGATTGGAGTCTCTAAAGGAATAATATTTCGATATAGAGTATAAAGTGAAAGTAAAAATTGGCAATTCGTAACTTCCATAAAAAAATAACCGGTTATTTAAATAGTCGTAAAAATAAATAGTATAAAGTATCTCGCTCTAGAATAAGACAAGTTTGCAAGGTTTTTGTATAGACAATATTCCTCCAACCTTGACGTAGTACTAGAAAAAAATTAACCAAACTAGCAGCATATAAATTTTCTTAAGAGTGCATTGAAAAGAATATCGCACGACATGGGTTTTATATACTACGGCAAGCAGGGCAAACATTTAATATTAATAGAAACGCTTGGAGGAAACAAGAAATAGTCATTTTTTAGGCGTCACTTTTTCAGGAAAATAAAGAAACTGGAAAATCAAGGGGCCAATATCTGGAACTACGAGTGGACAAATATGGCAGATACAACAATAAAAAATAGATAGGTTTTCGTAAATGGACTTATCACAGGTAGAAACCTCTGACCGGAAAAGGACTAAGATTTGTTATAGGCAATGCAAAAAATAAAGATGGTTTTTTTGAAGATAATATTACTGTTCTTGCAAAAAAAATGGTGCTAAAGACGCGTTAATAACGAATCTTGCAAAAAATAAAAATAATGTGATTGTAATGGACAATTTATTTTATCACTCTAGGAAACTAAATTTTCCCAAACAATATTGAGTGAAACGTCAAATGAAGGAGTGGCTTTCTGAAAAGAATATTTATTGCGAAGATTATTTAAAAAGAGAATTTCTTGAAACTGCTCATGCATTTTAAAATATTTATGACAAATAAATCTATCGATGCACACTTTTGCACGATGCACGTTTTTGCAATTATATGACTCCTATCTTTTTAATCCTGTCATGGTAATATTCTGATTACCTAGCACAGACTGCCAAAGCTGTCCGAAGTGTGTCGTGGAAGCTGCGTGCACGTGGCAACGTAGCAGAAAATGGCGTCCTTCTGGCTCTTGCCGCTTGCTAGTTACTAGCGTGCACGCCGAAGCTCCGCTTGAGTGTGCACTGCCTAATTATAATTCATGTACTGCTGAATCGCCAGCGATCGCACGCATCGTACCCGCCACGTGCTCGCTACTTGCAAAGACGTAAGTATGCATCGAGCCTAATTGTTTTCCTGGCTCCTTTCTTCCTGTTTTCCTGGCTTCTTCTACTTCTTGCTCTACCCATAAAATTTTATACGTTATAACAGGATTTAGTCCACATCTTTTTTTGGCTTAATTTAGCCCTTTTTTACTTATTTGTTTAAATGGTTGTACTATTCCTGATCATAAAGGTCCGTTGTTGCAAGCCGTTTATTAAACATTTCACAAAATCTTATATTTTTTATTTAATACAGTAAACACCGCTATTTACTATTATAGATTAAAACCATACAAAAAAATCAAATTGACAAGTATTTACAAAATTACTGGAAATACAGTAATAATATAATACCAATAATGGGTTTTTTGAAGACAAATATTAGCCATTACTTGTAAGAAGTTGATGCTAGTTTTAAGTTTATAGTGCTTGTAGTAAATTAACGCTAAATGGGTACTTCTTTTTCAGTTTTTAGCTGGTGGTTGGTACTTCCCGTATTTCACTGGAAAATGTTTCCTTCCAGGATCTGGAAGCAATGTAAGTGTGTCAACAAAAATAACTACCATATTGCAATATTAAGGTGGGTGATTTAATGTAGTTTAGAATTCTCACGAGATGATTTTGGAATTTTTGACGATTTTTAATTTTTTATTAACATTTATTATAAATACTTTTTTACAATGACAGTATTTGATCAATCAGCCTCTCGCCACATTCTCAGAGTAGCTTGATTAAATAAAGATTAAATATATCTGCAGTACAAAAATGTATTAGGTATTGGAATTGAACTCGAGACTATTATTATTACTACTAACAAAATAATCAAAAGGGTCAACCCTGAAATTTGGCAATATTCATTGAATTTTTGATTTTTTTTCTAAAGAGGTCATCTTTTTCTTCTGTTCTTGATGTGCCTATCCGTTACGGAATGCTGGCGATCATCATGACAATCTTTATCTTATCTGCAGCAGCGTGGAAAAGCTGCACAGATGTTGTATTAAACCAGATTCCGAGGTTCTTTAACCAAGATATTCTTCTTATTCCTGGACCTCGCTTTTCAAATATTTTTTCATGCAGGATGGCTTGAAAAAGAGCATATCTGGATTCATTTCACATATGTCCGAAGAATTGTAACTTTCTAGATTAAATGGTGGTCAGTACCTCTCGGTTCTTATTCATTCTTCTGAGGACCTTCTCATATGTGACTCGGTCAGTCCACGGGATCTTAAGTATTTTACGATATAGCCACATCTCAAATGTTTCCAGTTTTTTGCACATATCTTTGTTCAAGGACCACGATTCAACACCATAAAAAAGGATAAAGAAGACGTAGCATCGCAGCATTCTTACTTTTGTGTCAAGAGTGAGGTTGTGACTCTTAAAGAAGGCCTCCATCCGATTGAAGGTGGATCTAGCTTTTACAAGGCGTGCTCTAATCTCCTGGTTGTTGATACATTCTTCATTTATTATGGTGCCGAGATAGTTGTAGTGCATCAGTCTTTCTACAGGAGATTGGTTGACGTAGAGTTGACCTTCTGCTATCCTTTTTTTGCTAATTATCATAAGCTTTCTTTTCATAACATTTATATTGAGTCCATATTGTTGACTATAATACGTGATTTTGTTCATAAGAACTTGTAAGTCTTCTAAGGTGTCCGCAAATACTATGGTGTCATCTGCATATCTGGGCCCTGATTCTAATTGAGATTTCGACTGAAAACATGTTGAAATCAATATGGCGACGTCGAAATGCGACTTTGCGAGCCTAGTGAATTTCAGCTGAACTAACCAAAGGACGTCACTAAATTTCGATTTATCGAAATTAATTTCAACCTCAAGAAAGTGGTTGAAATTTAATTTCGAGTCGAAATTAATCTGACATTACTAGCGGGACTGGGAGAAGCGAGGTTAGGTTCAGTTTAGGCGGTGTTGTTTTGATTGTTGCAACGAAAACTGAGGCAAAAAGTATTAATATGCCTGCGTTTTATCAGAAATTGTATGTGTGGTGCACATAATTGGTCGAAATTTTAACACCTATAAAAATAGAACTGCGGTACCTGGGGGCCCCAAGCCAGATGCTACTGATTATTTTTTAAAATATACTGTGGTGTAAAATTAAAGAAATAAAATGTCCCAATATTAAAACTAAATTGGAAACCACAATTTTTGAATATATTCAACAGGCTGTAATGGAAGATAGAAATAACAAATAATTTGGTTGTAATAATTTATTTTAATTCTATACTCTTATTTGGAGATATAAAATAATCTTTAAACTCATCAAGAATTTTTAGAGCGGTAATGTATTGTTTTTAGTAATACCAATACTAAGCTGCAGTAAATTTAAAAATATAATATAACCACTAAGTCAAAAGCCATCATAATTTCTTTTTGGTCCACAGACAATTTAGTGCCACCATCACCAACAGCATCCATCCATTTTCTTTAAATTCAAAATATAATCATTGAGAATGGCCACTAAAAATTAACATCTCAAACAAGAAACAAAAATCGTAAAATGTAAACAAAACAAACATTTAACAAGCGTGCAGCCAATAAACAAGACGGCATAGAGAAATAACAATTAAGTATTTCTCTATGCAAGACGGCCAACCCAAATTCGGAGCAGTGTCAAATGATAAAGTAAATGTCCCCACTTTTAACTAAAATCGAAATGAATGAGAATCGCTAGCGATTGCGACTGTCATGGCGTAGTCGCTTTTAAATTTCGACATCGAAATGAAATAGAATCAGGGCCCTGATGTTGTTTAGCCGGAAACCATCTTTTTACGATGTAGATATTTGTCATCCCATTTTCTTTCAGTACGTCGACCCTTAAATTTTAAATAGAGAATATTACATGCGTGGCATATTGTTAGACAAGTATTTCGCCGAAAAATTGAGGCATCGATATTTTTCTCAATAATAACTCTATTCTTGTAAAAAAGTACCAGTGTATTGGAAGTGTTTCACCTGTTAAAAACTAAACGTAACGCCTATCTTTTGCTAGTGCCAATTTCAGATCATGCAATAAACTACATAAAACGAAATTTGCAACATTAACAGAAAACTTGATCAAATATAAGGTAAATAGAATGAACTAAATTTTAAATTAATAAATTATTAATTCCAAACAGTTTACTCATTAGCTGTATCTATTTACTTAAATTTCCAAAGTATTATCCACAATTGGCCATACAATTATAAAGTCATTGTTTGAAGTTATGAAAAATATTTTGGAGCATTTTAGGGGTTACTACATTAGTGAGAGCGCCCACCAAAGACATGGCAAGTGGCAAGTAACAAGTAGCACGGGTCTAGCCTGTTACTTAAAATGTAACCAATGCAAACCAATGATTAGAATGAATGACGTCTCTGTCATTTTAGTGTGCGCTGAATCATTTGTTTTCATTGGTAACAATTTAAGTAATAGGCTAGACGCGCGCTACTTGCCACTTGCCATGCCAGTTTGATGGGCGCTCTCCCTTCCATGCATGCACTATTTGCAATCTTAGTTCTTACAATGAAGATGGAATGGTAGTATAAATCTTGCTACTAAAATGAACCCATATGAAGAAGTCCAGAGAGTTAAATTGATGATCTTGTTCTTCATTTAATAAGCCACCGATCTAACTCTCCAGGACATCTCCATATGGGGTTATTAAAAAAGCAGGATTTATATACAATTTCAACTTTATTGAAAGAAGGTAACGAATAGTGCATGAATGTAGTATAGAAACCCCTAAACTGCTCCAAAATGTTCTTCGTAATTTCGAACAGCCACTTTATAATTATATGGAGTAAACCTTACTGGAGAGTAAACTGTTAATAATTATGAATTTGTTAATTTAAAATTTAGTTCATTTTATTTAGGTTACATTTAATAAAGTTTCCTATTAATGTTGCAAATTTCGTTTTAATGTAGTTTTTCACATGACCGGAAAGTGACATAAGCGAAACGAAGGCATTACCACAGAATAATAAACAATCAGAATGTCCACTCTCAGATGCCGCCTTTGAAGTTTTCAGCACGCGCGCCATATTTTAGAAGGAAACACATAATACAGACATATGATTTGTGAGGTTATGTTATTGTTTATATTTATGTTTAATTATATTATATTTATGTTATTATATTTAACAATGTTAATATAATTGTATAGTATGTCTATGATTGCCGTAAGTCAATTAAACCGGCTTAATTTTTCTATACACACCACATAAACAACACTGGTTCCCTCTAAAACATGGCGGAACGTCTGCCCGAAGGAGATGGGCGTACTTAATTTTCCATGGAGAGTGGGCATTCTGATTGTTTATTATTCTGTGGCGTTACGTTAGTTTTTAAGAAGTGTAGCACGTTTAATAAACTGATATTTTTCACAAGAATAGAGTTAGTATCGAAAAAATGTGAATGTTTGAATTTTCCAGCGAAATACCTGTTAAAAATATCCACACATGGTATATTATCCATTTAAAATTTAAGGGTTAAGGGTACTTGAGGAAAGGGGGTTGACAATTGACAAATTTCTATATTGTAAAACAATGTTTTCTTTGGAATAAAAATGGACCTGTTTCAGCATTTTTACAAAATCTTAGCAATATTGTCATATATCAGGTTGAACTCTTTTGAGTGGGCATAAAAAATAAGGAAATCAAAAAATCTGATGTTTAAATTAATAAATAAATAAATGAACTGAACGTTTGTGTCATATTATTAATATTTCTCCAGTAAACGACCGTTTTGGAGTGTAATTTTTCTCGTCAAGACAGATTTGGTGTCAAATTTGGATTTAGGTTTCTGTTACCCACTACTTTAATTTTTAACTTGAGCTCAGGGTTGGTTTTACTTGAGGGTTACTTAAGTTTGAAAAAACTTACAATCAAAATAAGTCCGGAAATGGATAAATTGACTAATTCTAAGCAAACTTTGTTTTATAGAGTTTTTCTCTTATACTAATAATAATAATTGAGTTATTTGTGAGGAAAAATGTTTAATTGTAAAAATAGAAACAATGTTTTTAGACTGTCTTTCACAAATAACTCAAAAAGTAAGTATTAATAAAAAAAATACGTGTAACCAAAATGTAGCTTATACAAAACTAAACAAATAGTGTAGTTATGAAATCTGTAGACTCAGTAGAAGCAAAGTTATAGTATAGTTCATAAAAGGTAGGTTCTTTTATTGCCAAATTTTAAATCGAATATTTCAACTTAAAAAAACAAAAAAATTAAGCACTTTTCTATTCCAGTCGTCAAAGACGAAAATGTTACTCAACCTCTAAAAATTATACGAACAAATTGAGGCGAATATAAATTTTGGGACCCCAAAAAAGATTTAAAAAGTTTACCATTTTTATCATTGAGCTTCTCTTTAAAATCCCCTCTTAGGGGGGTCAAAACGCAAAAAAAAATCGATTTACCAAGAATCTCTACGCCATAGAAAAAAATGTTTTAAATAAAACATGTAGCTGAGATAATTGTAAATAAAAATGTTTATTAGTACTTTTTGTGTAGAATGAACCGTTCTTTTAGAAAGAACGCTTGAGGCGACCGTCGATTTTGAATGTCAGTCATCACGTGGCGTGGCCGAAATCAATGTTAAATAAAATTTGTATCAGCTCGAAGACATTGATTTCGTGCACGTGACTGGCGATTCAAAATCGACGGTGGCTTCAAGCGTTACTTCTAAGTGACCGGTCTATTCTACACAAAAAGTACTAACAAATATTTTTGTTTAAAATTATCTCAGCTACATTTTTTATTTGAAACATTTTTTTCTACGACGTACAGATTCTTGGTACCCAAATTAATTTTTTTCAAGTTTTTGCCCCCCCACGAGGAAGGGGGTTTTTAGGAAGAATCTCGGGGGTAAATGTGGTAAACTATTTTGTATCTTTTTTGGGTTCCCAAAATTAATATTCTCTGAAAACTTCGACTTTTTTCGTATGATTCTTAGGGTGAACTCTCTGGCGAGTGGACTATTTGGGGAAAATCAATTAAAACTTTTTTAAAAGTATTTAAACAATTTATTTTTGTTTTGGTAAAAACGTTGAGAGTATCAAATATAACTGAGTTACACTCAAACTAAATTTGGCCCTTTTTTGTAAAAACATTATAAAATCTACCCCCTAATTAGCACCACAAATAAAATTAATAATTGTCAGCTCTTTACCATTTACTTTATTTATGTATTGTAAACTTCACTGGTTCATAAAAATTTAAAAAAGTTTAAAAAAAATTGCTTATACTTAAAGTAAAAGAAAAAATTTTAAAATTTTGAAAAAGTGCCTTTTCTTAAATAATTAAAAATGTATTAGTGACACGCAAAATCTTAAAAAGTGAAAAAATATGGGTTTTTGCTATTCTGAACATTTTGAGTTTTTTCGTTTTTCTCTCAAGACAAAAATTGGTTAAGATATGGCTATTCAAAGATTGCATACACTCGTGATTAGTAACACTTTCAAGCCCTTTTAACTACAACCATTTCAAAAATATATAATTAAAAAATATTAATTTAAATTATGGTATTACGCTTAAAAAAACGCATAAAATGGTATTTTTTAAACTTCCTTGCTTAAAAGCTAACCAAGTTGTAAGTAAAAAACCAATCACATATTTCAGGAGATATCAGAACTCGTATACTGGAGCATTGTAAGATACACATACTATTAAAGCACAGACATACTTTCATTCATTCATACAAATTGTTGTTTTTTAAGTTGAAATAAAATAAATAAATAACAATTTGAGAAAAAAATTATTGTATTTATAGTTTCAATGAAAAAAAAAAAACACTACAACTATTAGAGAATCTTCGCAAGAAGAATTGCTATATAAGGGTGCAAACTAAACGAAACCGGTAAATAAAATCTAAACTTAATGTCACTATATATAAAATCCACAATTCCTGTAGCTGGCTGTATACCACGTATCAACAAAAAAGAGGTTAGTCTTCGTAAGTGGGTATATTTATTTAAAAACCCTTAAAAGGGCTACATCAAAAACAAAACAAACGTTTTCGGACCTAAACAGTCCATCATCAGGTTTAAAATCGCCTAAAATAAGTATAAACCATTTAGTTAAAACATTTTTTTTCAATATATATAATTAAATAATTCCAAATTTCTTGAATTAACAATTATACATTTTTTTTTCTAATGTGGGTCGTTTTACCCCTAAAAAGTAAAAAGCAACTAACGGACAAGTCTAATTTTGAAGTGAAGGGTAATTTTAATCCCATCATCAGGTTTAAAATCGCCTAAAATAAGTAAAACCATTTAGTTAAAACATTTTTTTTTTTCAATATATATAATTAAATAATTCCAAATTTCTTGAATTTACAATTATACATTTTTTTTCTAATATGGGTCGTTTTACCCCTAAAAAGTAAAAACCAACTAACGGACAAGTCTAATTTTGAAGTGAAGGGTAATTATAATCTAAATCCAGATTTGTATGAAATTCGGTGGTGACACTTTATCACCGTATTTCAGGTTCGTTTACTGGCTTTGGAAAAATTAATATGCTATAGCGAGATAAGATGGTCAAAAGTGCCCCCGCACCGATCAGCAGTGCGACTTGTGATTTCAGCATATAAAAACATGCTGTTCTGAAGCTATTATCTTGTGGCATTTTAAATTAATTACTATTTAACTGGAAATAAGCCACAATTAAAGATAAAAATACGTTTATTGACATTTCAATTTCCACTTCGGAAAATCGTTCTCAAAATACAAACAGTAAATTTACTGTTTGTATTTTAAGAACGATTTCCGAAGTGGAAATTGAAACGTCAATAAACGTATTTTTATGTTTAATTGGGCTTGTTCCCAGTTAAATACTAATTAATATAAAAACATGACTTAAATTGAACTTTAACTGAACAATATAAAACAGTAACAAATTTTTAGCTTCCCAGAGTCCATAGAACCTCGTAAATCTAAAAAAGAAGTTGTTTTCGACTTTTTTTTCTGGACGCAATTTTGCTTTAAAAAATTTGAAAAAATCTGGTAAAACCTTTCGAACACAAAATAGCCTTTTTTTGGCTTTTTAATAGTAATTTTTTTTCGTTCTTTTAAATGGCCAAGGCAGAATTTTCAATTTCTGAGCGGAAAGCATCAAACAGTTAAAAAAAACTGTTTTTTTACTTATTTATTTGTCCATAACCTCAAAACTCAGTTAATAATTCAACATTTTTGAACATTTTTTCTTATACATTATTAAAATCTATATTGAAAAGTCCCCATTTAACTCTTCATAAAGACAAAATTCAAAAATACCATGTTTTATTATATTTATATATAATGTTTTATTTATATACCAGATAGTTAGAAATCAAAACTTTAGCTTTATGATTGTCTCTTCCCCAACAATGGTTTTTATCGCTTTTAATCGCATATCACTTTTGAATGATGATGGGTTACAGGACATAATAATCTAAAGAATGTTAAAATTTATTTAAGGTGAGAATACTTTAGCATTAAAAGCTGAGATAGCCAGGTGGTCAAGACGTCCTACTACAACGACCAAGCTGACATCGCAAGAAATCATTAACTTTCCAGATATGATTGAAAGGGACCTCAAAATTTTTTTTGGGAACCTATCAGTTAGGTCAAGCGATTTGCTATTTGGCTGAGTTGATGGATAATAGTAATAATATCAATTTGAAGTATATTACAATAAAACCAAATTAAAGGACTGATAACATCCAGGCATATAAGCAGTAAGACGTATAAATGCTACATTGAGTTATAAACTTTGCGCCACGCATGTGAATGTGAAAATGGGTTACACACTATAGGTTCGTATTCTCATATAGCAGCAGTCGTTTATTATATCAGTAATTCAAGATACAAATCGAGACTCATAAGACCAGCAAAAATACTATCAAAAATTTTTACATTGATGTTGAATCAGTCATATGTGAGAATAGTTAATTTAAATAACCTATTGTATAACAATTTCATAATAATAAATATTTTTGTAACCAAATATTTTATATATATGTCCTCGTTTATATCTAAATAAATGTATAAAACAATTTTTACAACGCTAAAAAAATATTTTAAAAAATAATAATATTCTTGTCCTATCGTGGTGATTATAGATCACCTAGCATCACTTTATCCAATTAACGAGTCAAAAAAAGAAATACTGCTTAAAAACAGCTTTTTGAAGTTTTGACTATTTAAGAAAAGAAGACAAGTGGTATAACAAAATTGAAGGGTGCGATCAAAATTACGCAGAAGTTCGATCATTTAGCTACTGTATTTTAAGGTTATGCCAGTAAAGTGGAAAAATAATAGAAAAACAAGGTTTTTCGCAATTTGAGAATTTGTAACTTAAAGATTATTTTAACAATGATAATTTATAATCCGTAAGAAAATAGATGGAGAAGCATACATCTAACTATCTGATGTTAAGGTAAGTTAAAAAAAGTATTTTTTTAATTTTTCGATGTTTTTTGCTCAGAAATTGAAAATTCTGCCTTAGCCATTTAACCAAAGAACGGAAACAAATACATAAAAAGTTACTATTCAAAAGTTAGCCAAAAATTATTAACATAACATAAAAAATTATTAAAAAATTCAATGATTTTTCCTGAGCTCAATTTTCAATATAAAAATTTGAAAAAAATGTTGCTATTTTGTATTCGAAAGATACATATTTATGAATTTTTTCAGATTTTTTTAAAGCAAAATTGCGTCCAGATAAAAATAAAGTCGAAAAAAGCTTCTTTTCAGATTTAACGGGTTCTATGGGCGCTGGGAAACTAAAAAGTTGTATAAAGTCATGTTTTTATATGCTTTATTGAAAGCACAAGTCGAGGTGCTGATTGGTGCGGGGCACTTTTGATCATCTTATTCCGCTATAGCCTTTAAGCTATTAACAGGTAGTATTGTTGATGTAAACTAAAACTATTATTGATTAATATACTTCTACGACAGAATAATAAATAAAAAAAATAAAGCAAGAAAGAGGGTATAGAGTAACAATAATTTACACCAACTCTTTAAAAAACATTGATAATGATAGAACTGAAAAAAAAACAAGAAATAGAGTTATTTAAAATTTAAAAAGTACGGTTGACTGACTAATGCTGATTACTGATGTATTAATAATAATTTTGCAACCTTGTTAAAGAAATGTGTTTATTTATTTTACCAGAATAAAAAAAATAATTATACTAATTTACTTTGCTTTTAATTATAGACACACATATATTTATAATTCCGTTATGAAAGCAACCGTTTTGTATAAATAAAAAAACAAACTTTGCACAAATAATAAGTGTTATTTTAATTATTTAAAAAACGTAATTATTCAAATTACCTAGTATTTTTTTTTATTTTGATGTATGGTTTTTAATTTTACTTTAGTAAAATTCTAATTTTATTTTAGATGGTGTTGGCTGCTTACTGCTATTTCCTGTCCAAATTTACTGAATTTGTAGACACGGTAAGTCTTTGAAAATAAACTATGCTATGCAATTTCTCTAGAAAGTGTTTTTAAACTCTCTATCGCTTAGGCAAGAAATCTACTTTATTTTGAAATATTAAGGTATTAAGTAATTCAATGATGTCATGCAGAAACAAAACGTGTCCAGAAAACAAACTTTTTAGGAGACCCAAATACTAAACTCAATGTTCAACGGATTTTTAGGTGATTAGGATCCTGTTAATCCTATAAAAGACTGGTTTTATTTTAACAAAAAGTTGTTTTTTCTGCAACTTTCTGTTTTGGGTTTTTGTGAATTCCTGGAAAATAGACTACTTTAACTATTTGCAAATTTTTGTGTTTAACTATTTGCAAATTTTTGTTAAAAAAGGTTATAATAGCCGAGGCAATAAAGGAATTAGGAAATTTTGTGATCTAAAGTGATGATGTCATAATAACATATGTAATATTTAACAAAGAAAAATATTCAAAATGATGCCTAGGATGAGCCTTGTTTCTCGGAGTTTTGTAAAAATTTAATACAAAATCAGTGCAAACTTGTTACATGAAGCTTTATGGGACCGTTGATCACGAGTATTATGACAGCGATGGTATTCACAGTACCTGATGCCCAGGACGGGCCTCGTTTGCTGAAGTTTTGCGGAAATTCAATACATGATCAATATAAAATCGAAGGTTTTACTGATCGTTGAATATAAATATCATGTCGACTATAATGTCCGAGGCACCTGATGCCCAGTTCTCCCTGAACATTAGGTATCTGGGAGACCGTCGCCGTCATGATATTTGTGATCAATGACTCCATAGTCTCCTTATTAATGTCTTTGTACTGATTTTGTATTGAATTTACACGAACCTCCAAGAGAAGAGACTCGTATTGAGTACCACGTGACTCGGGGATAATCGCTATCATGATATTTATGATCAGTAAAGCCAAAAACCCCCCCAGTAACAAGTTTGTACTAATTTTGTATCTAATATCCATAAAACTCCAGACGATGCTCATCCTGGGGTATCTCGGAGACCATCGCCGTCATGATATTCGTATTCAGCGACCCCAAAAATTCCGAGTAGTAATTTCAGAATTAAAAATTTATTCTTTGCGTTAGTAATTCACCGAACCATTTATTACTATTATTTTTATTATTTATTAGGACTTCTAATTATTTTGCTTACATATAGTGCCGATCTAGCAGAAATTAAGTATAAATAATATTTTATTTTAGATCCTTTTTGCGTTAAGAAAGAAGGACAACCAAATTACACGCCTCCATTTATACCATCACGGCATTATGCCATTCGGCTCTTGGCTTGCCGCGAAATATGCTCCTGATGGCCCCATGACATTTCTGGGATTAATCAACTCACTAGTTCACGTCGTCATGTACTCCTACTACATGCTAAGTGCCATGGGACCAAAAGTACAAAAATACCTGTGGTGGAAGAAATACATCACCATGATGCAACTGGTAAGAATTGTTGTAATTAAATACTCTAGGTTTATCTTAAAGGTACTTGATATACCTAATTATCTTATACGCAACTTCGATATGCTTTTACTATCATTACTGGTGTTAGAGCCTTTATAAACTCTCGACCTTCAAATTTTCTGTGTCATACCGTTATCTGCTGTGCTTAGGTTTTTCAGTTGGAAGCACAGATATTTTTAACGTTTAATCAACTGAATTGAACTTAAACTTATTCGTTTATCAAAGGAAAGACAGTTAAGATTTGATTTCACGTATAGTGCGTCTGTATATCCGCTTATACGTGTTTCATCATAAAATGAATCTTCGGAGCGGCTATTTGGAGACACTCTGAACGTGAAAACAATCTTCCCTTTCGTAATAGAAGCAACACTAAAATGACTTCGATATGGACGCAATAGCGACATCTGATAATAAATCTCGAAACTAATTGTCGAAACCAAATTCAGATTTTTCTTTAATCTCTGTCTTGTAAGAATCTGCCTTGTCAAAAAGACGTTAATAAAGATTTAATTAGAGACATGGGGAATCTAAAATTGCATACGTCTGTTTGCCTTGCAAATCTCAGAAGGCACAGATTAAAGCAAAAATCTTAAAGTTTCGGGATTTATTATGCGTTTGTATGTTCTGTAGCTCAAAGTTGGTGCCTCCATGTTCCGTTTTATTAAGCTGCTCTAAAATTTGTGTGTAGCGCTTTTATCTTAAAAACTATAGTGATGATTCATCGGATTTAGTTACGGTCCATGTCTTATATCCATATTTGAGGATCAGCACTATCAGCTTGCTGTACCATCCTTACCTTGCTTTTTGAGATAAACATGTGTTAACTAAATATTTTGATATACCGTACACTAGTATTTGTTTGCGAAAATGATAAAACTTTTTATCACTTCTGATATATTGTTTATCATATCGATCCATGCGGTCAGATAAAAGAACTTAATCATAACTTTATCAAGAGCAGCTATTTTGAAGATTAGAAAATATCCACTCCATTCTTCTTTATGATGCCGAAGCTTGGACTGTTAATGTTGACTTGATGAGAAAGCTGACAGCTTTTAGAAGAATTATAATACCATGAGCCGACTATATTATAAACGAAATTGTATTGCATTGAATAATGTACGAGTTGTTGCAGCTGATTATGATAAGTAAAATTAAAGGAATAATAGGTCCTGGTAGACGACAAATATCCTGACAAAAAACATTGGCGATTGCACCGGGTTGAACACACAGTCGCTTTTAAGAAAAGCGACAGCTTAGATTTAAGCTTTACAATGGTTATAGCCTGCCCTTATTAGTAGCGTCGGCACTATAAGAAGAAGAAGAATCACATTTTCGACATATCATTATCTAGTTATCGATAAACTTGTTAGCAGTGATGAAGGTAAGAAAATAAAGAAAGTTATAGTTAAAGAATAAATGTAAAACTCCACTAAATAATACTTTATTTATTGTGAACTTGGTGGCGTATGAAAAGTAATGTTAATTAGAGTATACATGACAAATGCGTATGACAAATGTAAGACGATAAAGTAAACTTGAGGCAAAATGTAGGAGTAGGTTTGACAAACGTTAAAATAAAAATCAAAAGACTAATATTTTTTGTACACACTTATGATAAGTCGAAAGAAAATGCAAAAAAGTATTTTTGAAGTGTGTATATTTTAGGCAATTCCTAGCTGAGCGCTTTCGGCTTTACAAAGCCATCATCAGAGCTATGGTCAATTTTTTAAATACCACTACAAAGGAGAGATCTCATTTCCTTAAATTTCAAAATTATGATTTTGTAGGTGTTGAAATTCTTAAAAACTTATAAAAAAAAACACATAAAAAGCCGACACTGGACTTCACAAACACGTTAAAAAATTGAAAAAATTTTTGTCATGGTACGGGTTTAAGAACCCGACCATTGATTGATGTGAGGACGTAGACTGAATAGGTCTGAATAATCTGAAAATTGGGAAAAAAGTTGACGGTGTATACAAGTGAAGTCATGATTAAAGAAGGAGTGATGATTGGTACATTTGGGGCTAGTTCTCACGTCTTTAACAATCTGCAAGTCTTTATACAGGTCCAGATGTAAAATAGTTTGGTCTTGTATACTGTGGATTAATGTGCCACATTGAGGATGTTCAGATTTACATATTTAGAATTCTATATATAGATATTTCAAATTGATATAACATTCTTACATTAATTTAGCAATTCTAGATTGTTATTAGGACCATGTAGCAAAAAGTAATTGTTGATTTAAAATATTTTAAATACTGTTTTTTGTTGTAGATCCAGTTTATCCTGACATTAACTCAGTCACTATTGACCTTCTTCTACGGTTGCAACTTGCCTACAGCAATCAGCATCTTTAATATTACTCAAAGTGTTGTCTTCTTCGTAATGTTCTTTGACTTCTACATGCAGTCGTACAAGAAGAAGTCTTCTTCAAAACTAGCACCTAATGGAGTAGCCAAGACAGTTCCAGTGAAGGAATTGAAGAGCCAGTAAATTTATAATTATAAGACTAAAAATAAAAAAAAAATAAAAAAATTTAGTAAAATATTTGTCATGTTTCTTATACTCAACTCAACTCCATACCTTAATTCTTTTAGTATTATTTTATTCTAGAATTATTTTATTATTCACATAATCATATTACCATTACAAATAATAAATATTTGTGAGGGTAATTGATGGATACTGTGACAAATACGGTGATTAGTTACAGAATTAAAATTTAAGCTTAGTTGCACCCTGTGCTTTATAAACGAAACCACCAAGACAGTACCGAACTCAAATAGAGAACTGGTTACCTTACTAATTTTTATTTAATTAAAGTAGAATGTGACCAAATATTGTTAATTAAAACTCTAACAAGCAACCGATACCGATTTAACGTGATCTTGGAATGTGTGCTTCACAAATACTAGTTTTTAACGATGTATACTATTTTATTTCTAGTATAAAATTAAACAGTACCATTAATATTGGGTGTTTTGACCCTTTAAGTACATATTATATCGAGTGTGCCAAAAGAAGTTATGACATAGTATACGCCAAAGCATAGAGTTATAATAAATATTGTGGCTCTAAGTACACAAAATAAAAAATCAAACCTTTTTTTGTGTTTTGACCCTTTAAGTACATATTATATCGAGTGTGCCAAAAGAAGTTATGACATAGTATACGCCAAAACATAGAGTTATAATAAATATTGTGGCTCTAAGTACACAAAATAAAAATCAAACGAAATCAGATCATAAGAAGACTAGAGACTTCTCTGGGAGTAGGTCAGAATGCATAAAAGGAAACCCGAAAATATCCTGGGCTAGGATGAGTTATTCTCAGTAGATTTTAGGAATACGAATATGGGCGCCATACAAGATATATAAGTTATAAACAATTCATACACTTAAAAGCAAAACAGACATTGTCAGACAAAATTAGCAAAATCAGTGTGTTACAAATACAAATTTTGTTTACTTCTAATGGCAAGGTAGTCTTAGGCAAGAGAAAAAATAAACAAAAACATTAACCTTGAAGAGTTTAAATTTATCCCTAAGAGTACTCTTATTAAGTTGTATGATATAGAAACAAAAACTAGGTAAGCAGTAACTGTTTATAAAAATAAAGTGGGGGAGATCTAAATTGTCTAAAAAAAATTACACAAGAATCATTTTCTGGTGAGCTTACATATAAATATATATAAAAAGAAGTTTCTGAATCACTCTCTTTATCACATTTAGATAGAACAAACAGTCTTTAGCTATTGTTGCTGACCAAAAGGTAGGCTCTCGGATATAGTGAAAGAGAATTTGTTACCTTGGATCTTAATTACACACAATCTTCAACGAACTGGTATCCAGCAAAATAAACATATTATTATTAAGGGTCGCTTGGTAAGGACAGCGACAATGAAAGGTGACAAGCTACTGGCGTGCCGGTGACAACAAACAAGCTACCACAACTCGTGACCTATTCGTATTCACTTAATAAATTTTTTTAACGAATACCCCAAATATTTTTGATTACTTCTTTATTTTCCAATAATCTGTATGGATTATTGGAATAAGTAAGCATTAGTAAATCCTAAACAGGCGTAATCTCTATGCAACTATTAATACAGAGCTATTCATATAGACCTTTAACATAATTTAGAGCTTATAAAATACCCTATCGGGCTACATCACAGAACGGTTTCGGGATTAATATTCCATCATCAGAGCTATCTGAATGTACATGTTTGAGCCATTAAATACATAGGTACAAACCCTTTAAATGTTGTTAAAGTAATTTTGAGTTACATTATTTAACTTTATAAACTAAGATGTTTAAGTGGCAACAGAAATAGATAACATGGCAACGTAAAACTCCACTGGGGGTTGCTAGTCCTGAGACGAAGTGTCTACGAGGACTTGTTGACAGCAACTAAGTTATAAGGCGTAGAAATATAAATTTCGATACTTATGTATGCTTTATTGATTAACATAAAGCATTCAATACAGTAAAAGACGATAAGCTGATAATGATATTAACAAATATTGGAATAAACACTGAGATCTAGGAATTATCAGCATTCCTTACTGAAACCAAACATTGTCTATTTGTACAGAGGCAGGAAAATCAGATGATCAGGAAAATCAAAATAAAACGCGGAGTTCGACAGAGATCTATACTATCACCCTTGCTGTTCAACATATACTCTAAGGAAATCTTTCAAGAGGCAGTAGAGGACCTTGAAGTTTCAATTTAAATTAACAAAGAATGTATCAATAAAATCAGATACGTGGATGTCACGGTTTTATTCGGTGACAGTTATAAAGCCCTCCAGGAGTTAATGAATAAAATTATAGAAGTAAGTTAGAGATATGAGATTTCACTGAACATTAAGAAAACAAAATGTATGATAATTTTTAAGAAGGAACAGCAAATTGAAAAAATCAGTGTAAATAGTCAACCAATAGAAAATGGAAAAATATACACCTACCTTGCTACGAACGTCAATGAAAATTGGAACGATTCCCAATTAGTAATAGAATGTAGGACAGAGAAATCAAGATCTGCATTTTAAAAAATTTGAGGATTTTGAAATGTGGCTTTATCGTCAAATATTGAAAATATCCTATACCAATCACCTTACTAACTAGGCCGTTTTATTAAGAATGCAAAAAAAGGAAAAGAATATTTACCACAATAAACACAGTCAAAATCAAATACCTTGGTCACATCATGAGGAACAGCGAACTATATGGGTTGCTGCTATTAATTTTACAAGGAAAAGTAGTGGAAAACGCGGACCAAGAAGGCAAAGAATTTATTGGCTGAAAAATCTACGTACGTGGTTCAACACAACAACCACAAATCTTTTCAGAGCAGCAGTGTGTAAAATAAAGATTTCCTGATGGTCATCAACATCCAAATTTGATAGCCACTACATAGAAAGAAGAAGAAGAAGCCGAAGATTACTACCATACGCCAAAGAAATAGATGGTGACTACTGTACGGTTTCAGATCTGTAACTCCTTTGCACAAGTTACAATATACGGCGATAAGGCAAAATATTACTCTAAACAATTATAAACTTTGAGGTGGTTAAAGAATTTAAATATCTAGGTAACCATCACCAATGACAATAAAGTAGAACAAGATGTTGAAACGCAAATATTTTTCTTTGGACTGCAATATCTAATGAGGTCAAAACTTTTCTCACGAGGTGAAAAAATCCAGATATACAAAACCATAATACAACCAGCAGTCGCGTACTAACCCGAAACATGGACGCAAACAAAAAAAAAAATAAATAAATAAATTGCTGGCGAAACAACTTAAAATCCTTTAAGTAGCATAACCTCTTTTATTCGAAAAGAAAAATCTAGTGAGATTGATAAAAAGCAAAAGACTAACATGGACAGGACATGAGATATACAGTAACGACAATATCCTTATAGACAATTTGTTTTGGAATGACCAGATAGGAGAATATTTGTAGTACGGTCTAGTCAAAGACCATCTGTAGAAAATGTGAGTAAGACAATGCTAAACAAGACCGACAAAAATGGAAGGCAGTACCTACTGAACGCGACCAACACTCACGAACAGCGTTAATGCCATTGATGAGTCAGATTCTTATCTTATACCTAAACTTTTGGGATAAATTTGTAGAATTCTAACTGCACATGATCTTTGTACAATAAATATTTGTGTTGTTATTATCTATAACAGTTATAATATAGAAAAACAACTCGTTATTTTTTAATGTAGAATAGCAATGTCTTTATTATTTTTCTTCTCTGAAACTACAGGGCTGTTTAGGGCTAAGACCATAAATATATGAAAAGGTCTTTTTAGAACTTGATCAGCTAACAAATGTATTATCGAGACGGATAATATGCTTTCATAAAAGCCTAGATATTTTGAATTGATTATAAATGTAGTTTCAACACTATCTTAAAACGACAATCTTAGCTGACTATTATAAATAATGTAAAGGAATTTGCTACCGAAAATCTGTGTTTTTCTAGAATAAATGAAATTGATAGATTTTGGCAAATATTTGATAGCTTTTGTAAACCCAAAAATGTTCGACCGTGAAAGTCTAGACTCATATATGTATATGTTTATTAGCCTAATCAATTGCATTTTAATTAGAATGTCTTAATAAATATATCCTACGTTTAATGTTAATTTCACGTATCGTATGACATAAATATAAAATAAGAGAAGATGATGTGTAGAATGTATAATTTAGGCACATATGTTTCGACTAACGTCACAGATCGCACGTCTTCGAAATCGCGTTACTAATGTTAGTCACACATGTAGCCATATTATAGTTCAGTCAATGTCACAGATAATATCACTAAACCTCTAAAACTCATACGAATAAGCTGAATTTTGCTGATAATGTCAATTTTGGTAGCACAAAAAGATGAAAAAAGTTTGCCACTCCTACTTACTTGCTTTTTCTGTAAGATGAATACTTTCCCTCAGAATCAACGCTTGTCAGTAACGCGGTGAGAAAATAAATTTTTTAAGTAAAATTTGTATCAACTTTACGGTACCAATTCGATATCTTTTGATCAGAGTGACCTATCGCCAAAAATTAAAATGCATTTTAAAGGTGAAAATTGCACTTTTGGTATGTAATATTTGTATTTTTTCGCAAATGAAGTCAGTTTCTAGAGAGCTATTAAATAAATAAAGGTTGCCCGAATTTTGCCATTTTTACGATTTCCATGGGATCAATAAAATGTTTCACTTGCATTGACCGGTCCGTGTGAAGTTTCCGTTGTTTATCAAAACACCTTTAACAAAACAAAAAGGTGCACTTCAGAATATACATATACATCAGAATATACATATATACATATACATCATAATTCAGAATATATGTAATAAGGTTGATTTTAAACGAAGAAGAAATAAAAAACACTGAAGCAGAAAGACGATCACTATCTATTCGATATAACGAAATCTACAATGTCACACAAGAGCTTTGTAAGAGTCCCCCCCCCCCCACATTAGGC